TTGGTTAAAAAAAATCTATTTATCGCTAATTTCTAACACTTTGGGTACTTTGTGTTAGGTACACCAAGTTACCCCCGGTGTGTCGCAACACACTGCGGGCCAACATGGAGAGCGTCACCAAGGCGGGGGAGAAGAAGATCGCCGACGAGATGCCTGACAAGTTCGGGCTGCTGCTGGACGGGTGGTCCCATGGAACGGAGCACTACCTAGGTGTCTTCGCGTGCTACGAGACACCCTCGGGTCCGCAGTACCCTCTGCTTTCTCTGGCTCCGATTGTCGTCGACTCTGCTGGTCGATTCGATGCCGAGACGCACATGGCTGCGCTGGCTGCTTTTCTACCTTTTCTGGAAAGGAACTATCTAACTGCATCTTTTTGGTCGGAGACAATTGTGCAGTGAAAAAGCGCCTCGCTCGGCCCATGGGCATCCCGCTGGTCGGCTGTGCCAGCCATCGGCTGAACCTCGCCGTTCGGACACTGCTCGAGCCGCATGAAGCCGATCTGGAGCAAGTCCAGTCTCTCATGAAGCGCCTTCGGACATTGACTCAGGCAGCCAAGCTGCGGTAAGCATTTGTTTATTTTTTATTTTTTATTTTTATATACTAATTTTATATGAAGTTTGAAGACGTCTCTCAGGCCAAAGCTGCGCCAGGAGACGAGGTGGGGCTCGACCTACGCTATGCTTGCACGCTACTTCGATCTGCGCGAGTTTATCAGCGCTGATGACGAAGATCTAGCCAGGTTGATGCCATCTCCTGCCGCGAACCGGCGATTGAAAGCGCTATTGCTCGAGTTGGCATATGTCGAGTCGGTTTCGATGAAATTACAATCCGTGGAGCTTAACCTGTTGGATGCGGGCGACCTACTTGACGGGCTGCTAGAGGTCAAGCCAAGCTTCCGTCGCTATCTTGGTTGGTGTGAGTTTACTACATTTGGTGGTTTGCTCATTTTACTAATATTTTTGCAGCCCCGAACGCTGACATCGTCGCTGCTCCCCAGTTCGAGAGCGCCGTGATCAAGGTCCTGGGGGGGACAAGCGAAGCAGCTTTCGCTAGGTGAAAAGGCTACGCTAAGACCGTTTGAACAGCAGACCACCATAGCTGCGACCGCGGAGACGACCAAATTGGGGTTTGCGGACAGGATTTTGAAGCGCAGGAAGGTTCAAGATGACACGAACGCGTACGGCCAGCTGGATGCCATCCCGTCGACGTCCAATGCAGCTGAACGGCTGTTCAGCATGGCCCGAATGGTGCTCCGGTGCGAGAGGAACCGTTTGTCACCGCTGATGCTGGAGATGCTGTTGTTTTTGAAGGTGAACAGCAAGTACTGGGACGTCACGACGGTTGATGCAGTGATCTAGGTTTCCTACGCTGCGAACACGATCTTACTCGGTGAACCTACTAGTTATTTAAGTGTTGATCTTGGTATTTCACTTTATTCATTTGCCTGTCCTTGGAGTTACTTGTTGTCTGTGGAGATGGAAATAGGTAACAATGATATTTTGAGCAACCCTGCCGTTGATTCGGAAACATCGACGCTAGGGATAGGACTGTGGAAGGACCACGCCATTATTGCTACTCGCGTCCCTCGTGATCAAGAGATCGGCGAGGGGCTGATCTCACGTGGTGGATTTGGAGAAGTCTATCGGCGCAAATACAATAATGAAGACGCCGCCATTAAGATGCTGTTCCCTGAAATGCGAAGTGACCTGAAGAAAGTGCATGTTTTCCTGGCGGAGGTCAAGTTGATGGCAAGTCTCTCCCACCCTTGCATCGTGCAGTTTGTGGGTGTGTCGTGGGGGTCCCTTACTGATCTGTGTGTGCTAACAGAGTTGATGAAGGGCGGAGATCTTCGATCACAACTCAAAAGACTCGAGGATCAACATCATCATCAAGGCATCGACTACGACAAAATCCGCATCGCTTACGACATCGCACAGGCGTTGACATACTTACATTCGCTCTCTACGATCGTGATCCACCGGGACTTAAAGTCGAAGAACGTGCTTTTGACCGAAGAGCTAGACGCAAAACTCACGGATTTTGGCGCTTTAAGGGAGTGACAAGACCAGACAATGACTGCTGGTGTTGGTACGATGCTATGGATGGCACCCGAAGTAATGATGGCCAAGCATTACGACGAGAAGGCGGATATCTTCTCGTTTGGTGTTATTCTGTCAGAACTGGATTTGCAGTCGCTGCCGTACGCTCATGCAAGGTACGACACAGTGTCTGGGAAGAAGGCCCCGGATGCGGTTGTAATTCAGAAAGTGGCATCGGACGAGCTACAAGTGGCCTTTTCGCCCGACTGTAGCGTCGCTGGTGCAGCTGGGGAACGAGTGCGTCTCGCTAGACCCATCGGTTCGACCATCCGCCCCGATAGTTGTTTTCAGGTTGCAAACTATCATAAAGAAATCCTTCGGACTTTAACTGCAATAGTCATTTGTGCGATGGATAAGCAAAGTGATGCAGCATTAATGCATTGCACCAACTCATATCCTCGTTTCGCGAATAACCACGTCATCACACTTTCAGCTTTTTATAAAGATGACTGGCAGCTTTTCATTAACCAATAGCAGTAATATGAGATGGGTACACTGTATGAAACGTTATTTTAACCGAGTGGAGGAAGCCGATGCTGCACGGCGTAGGCTTCGGCTACGCAGTTTCAAAGAGTCGTTTAGCACTCTCCAGATTGAAGGCCTCGCCACAACAAGCTCGAGGGATGTTCTCGTTCATCAACGATTCTGAACAGGATGGCAAATCTCTTGTCGCCTTAAGCCGCGAGGCTCTGCGGGGACTGGGTAAGCGCGACGACCACGTCACGCTACATCTGCCATTCCTTCCGTCCCCTGCAGGCAGTAAAAACACTCTCCCGGTTCAGTCGACACGACTTCCGTTGGGATTCGAGACGCTGCAGAAGACGGCAGTGCTGGAGATCGACAATCCGTCGGCCCGCAATGCGCTGAGTGGAAATATGATGGCTCAACTGGCAGACATCGTCACGCTATTAGAAGATCCGAAGGTTCACGACAAGCTCAACGTCGTCGTTTTGCGAGGGACTGGGGGTTGGTTCTGTGCCGGAGCGGACCTACGCGTTGCTCGCGATGAGCTAAACTCACGAGAGGCAGGGGCGGCCATGGGGGCGTTGATGGTGGACACTTTGACGCGCTTCCGTCGACTCCCTTTGGTGAGCATTGCGGCTATAGAGGGCGGAGCTTTTGGAGGTGGAGCGGAACTGGCGACGGCGTGCGACTTTCGGATAATTGAAGGCAACGCAGTCATCCAATTCGTGCAATCTCGTATGGGCGTGATCCCTGGTTGGGGAGGTGGTGCAAGACTCTACAAAATTGTTGGACGACAGAATGCACTCCGGTTGTTGTGCACTGCTGAAAGGATTTCACCCGATCGTGCTCTTCAGCTGAAACTCGTCGACGAGATTTTCTTCGCTACGGATGAAGAGTCTTCCAACACCGGCATCACCTCGTTTGTAGAGGCTTTTGATGCAATTGTGCCAGGTAGTATTTGGTTACCCTGTAAAAGTTCGAAGGTCTAATTCTTGTAAATCTTGCTGCCATATTAGCGGTATCTCACGGTGCTAAGCGAGTGATCAACAACGCCGATGACGTAAGTCTGGACGACGTTCTTAAATACGAACATGATGTATTCAAGACGCTGTGGGGAGGTCCAGCTAACCTGGAGGCTCTTGAGAAAGCTTTGTCGAAGAAAAAATGAAGTAAGGATTTTAATATTGGGTTCTACTCCATAATGACCTGTTGACCAGCTTCAATGTCCTTTCGATCATTTGGTGCAGGTTCGCTTTGCTTCTTGATCGTATAGTGTGTCACCTTGAGCAGATACGAACCGCGAATATAAGCCCCACTAGTCTTCGCGATGATTTTTTGGGCTTCTTGTCGTAGCCTAAGTTGATTCGCCCGTATCGACTTTTGTTTCCGTTCGATAGAGCGCTCGAATTCGCGTTTAGCTTGTCCATATTGCAGATTAAGTTGCCGTACATGCTCTGGAGCACTAACTGGTCGCTTGGGAGTGCAGTTGTACCACCGATTTTGGCGTACTAGACTTGCAGCGATTTCTTTCTCTTTTTCTTCCATCTTGCGTCGGCACTGGTCTATTCGTAGATGGTCTTGCGCTAACAACCCTGCGACTCCAATAGCTCTATGCATGGCATCATTCGAATGTCGGATCTCGCGACGTTTTTGGGCCAATGCTGTTTCCAGTTCGCGCTCCTCTTCATCTTTTAACGTTTGTCTTCTCCGAAACTCTGCGATGCGCTTTGCTGCCAGACGAGCTTGAAGCGTTCCGATATCAGGTTTAGACAGTGACGTTTTTTCTTTCAAAATCGTCACTGGGACGGGTGGTGGAGTACGGTGATCATAGTGGTGACCATGGACTCGAACCAAGTCAAAAAGAAAGTTTTCATCGAGTAGGTCTGATTCTTTGGGTTCAGGCGACCAAGTGTCTAGAGAGATGACTGCTTCATTCTCTATACTCGACACGGTATCCTCTGACTCAACGCAAATGTCCACACCACTAGTCTCGTTGACCTTCGTTGTCAAATGCATGTCCTTGATAGCCTCAACAACCTCTTTCATCTTTCTTTGTGGTACGTTAGCGCTGATCGCTACAGGAAATTCATGTCCTTGTGGTGGTGCTGGTTCAACATCTCGAACTTCGTCACTTTCCACAAGAAAAACTTGCCCATCTGTAGCAGATACAACGGTTTTCTTGTCTACCGAAGGCTCTGCTGACTCCCAGCTTTCCTCATAGTCGTTGTTCACGCTTGTCATCCCTCCAATTCTCCACGTCAAGTGAAAATTCTGAGTGCTTGTGCATATCCAATCCTAGAGGAATCGACATTTCGATAATATTGGAAGATTTCAACGGTAGAATGCCACCAAGCGGGCTCTTGGACGTTGGATAAGAACACAACAAAATTATCCCCGTACGATAAACAAAACTCACTTGAATTCACTAACTGGATGAAACAGTTGGCTTAATTCATCGAGCAAAAACCACGCTAACAATGGCAAGGCTTACTTTTTCTTCTTTTTGAGAGCACCTTCCAGCGCCGCAAGGTTAGCTGGACCGCCCCAGAGCGATTTGAATACATCATGCTCGTATGAAAGCACAGCGTCCAAACTCACGTCATCGGCACGATTGATAACTCGTTTCGCTCCATGGGAAACAGCTGCATGTAGCAAAATAAAGTTAGATAGCGACGAAACCTACAAACACATTCTGAACAAAGTACCCGGAGCGATCACATCAAACGGAGTCACGAAGCTGCAGATCGCTGCATCAGCACAATCGCTTTCGGTGTCGAACGTGAAATCTGCAAGCTTCAGTTCCAAAGCCCGTTGAGATGACAGTTTCTCTGCTGTGCACAAGAGTCTCAATGCATCCTGCCGACCCACAATCTTGTACAGTCTTGCACCTCCACCCCACGCAGGCGAGACACCCATACGCACTTGTACGAATTGAATGATCGCTTTCGTCTCCAAAATCCGAAAGTCGCAAGCCGTGGTCAGCTCCGCGCCTCCTCCATATGCGCCACCTTCGATGCATGCAACACTCACAAGTGGTAGACGTCGGAATCTTGTCAATGTGTCAATCATTAGAGCTCCCATTGCTGCTCCCGCTTCGGAGGACGTCAGATCCTCCTGGGCGACTTTCAAATCCGCGCCCGCACAGAACCAGCCACCCGTTCCTCTCAGTACCACAGCGTTCAGTTTGCCGTGCACCTCCGGGTTCTCTAGCTGCGATACGATATCCGCCAACTCAGCCATCATTTTGCCACTCAACGCATTGCGTGCCGACGGACTGTGAATCTCCACCACCGCTGTTTTGTTCAAAGACCGCAGCGCTTCTGGAAGCGGTGAGTGCACGTTGACTGTCGAGCTGGGAGGAGAAAACGGAAGATACAGCGCCACCCGGTCATCACTCCGGCTGAGATGGCGCAGTACTTCGCGGCTTCGGGCGACGAGT